TTGATCCGATTCAAGTTGATGGGTCTTTTTTATTGGGTGATAGAATGGAAACAGGGGAATTTTCCCGCGTGGGAGTATAACGTATTTACTTGAGTACAGTACCACGTGCATTCTCTTTCTCAAATTTCAGAGGCAAAAAGGCAGGGCGCGTCATAGGCGGGTACAACTTAAAAAAAAAAAGTTTTAGATATGTAGGTGTGTGTTATGCATACTTGATTCGAATCGGAAATTTTGGACCAAGTTTAACGGAAAAAGTTATTTTAATAGAAACACTTGAGAAATAGTCAAATTCATGTCTGAATTAAAATTTCGATGTTCTTATTTTTGAAATGAGTGTCATTAAAATTTAGTCATGGTAGGGTTTGGTTTTATGACTTCTTCATTTATAGTAATTAAAATGGGCTCTGCATTTTATTGAAAGAGGATTTCATTTTTGTGGGTGCTCATCTTGCTTGAATGAGGTACTTGAGTAAATATTACATTAAATCGTTCAATTATCGATCAACTTTGATATGAATGGATGAGTGTACAGTATCCTTCTGTTGAAATTACTACTTGATGTTGTTCGATGAGTCGTAACTGATGGACTAGCTCTAGAACGATTTTCTCTGTATAAAGAATATTATTTTGGCCCCATGGTACTGTATACGGGTTGCCTGCTACAACATTCTTTCTGTAACGATTTTTTTGGTCCCTCGAATTTGGTCTATACAGTAATTGATCCCTTGAATTTCTTTATATACCGTAAATAATTTTTCTGGTCCCTTAAATTTGTTGTGGAGAGTCGCCTGTAGTATACAACCTCAATTATCTGTACGTTTGATCAACTGTGTCCCAATAAAGGAAAAGACCTGTTGAGGTCCTCAGAATAAAAATTCTTTGACGTTTCTTATTAGCTATTATTTTCATCACCCCGAGAATTTGTTTCAGCTAAAAATTTGTTGAAACCTGGCTTACAATATTGACCTTGATAAATTTTTGTCGAATTTATATTTAATGTGCAGTATTTATAAACGCATATTTTATGTCCTTGAATTGAACCAATGCGTTGAATTGGCGTCCCTTCTTTTTTGACGTTGGCATTCTTCAAGAAAAATTGCGTCAAATTTTTAGCATGCTGAGTAAAGATTCCGAAAAAAAAACCTGAGAGAAAGTGTCCTATAAGTTTGTTGTAAGTAAAGGTGTGCTGCATTATTTTAGCGAAGTCCTGTCAGTTCCTATCTTATTCCATGAAAAAGCTCCAGCGGGTTCCCCTACGCAACGTAGTCTCGTGGTTCAAGAGGGACCGCCAGCACCAGCAGGAGATTCCGCGAGCAATGAAATATCGACCGCGAGGAACAGCGGGGCGTCCGTGCCGCCACCGGACGGCGGCGCCGCATGGCTCGTCGTCGTATTCGGCTTTTTCGCACACGCAGTGATCGACGGGATCATCGTGAGCTACGGGATACTGATGGTTGAACTGATGAAGGAGTTTGATGGTTACGGACGCGCAGTCGTGGCTGGGATCGGTTCCCTGATGGTCGGGATTTCTCTGTCGATCGGTGAGTTTTTAAATCGTCGAATTTCTGTGGAGATTTCTTGTAAAGTTTCTCTTTTTTGTTGTGAGAAATCTTGAAGGTCCCGTTTCTGCTGCTGCGGTGAATCGTTTCGGGCTTCGAAGCTGCGCTCTGTTCGGGTGTTTGACAGGGGCCTTGGGCATATTGCTGAGTTCGTATGCTCAGCACGTTGCGCTCCTGTTTATTTTCTACGGAATCATGTCTGGTTTGTTCTCACACTTGCCTTTTTATTTTTCACTTGCGTTTTACTCACCCTTCCAATCTTTCTGAGCTGTCGATGTACATTCGGACCTCTCCGAATCGAATTTGAAGGGACAAAAAAAAACATAATTCGACTCAAAGAGGTTTCGAGTTATGGAGGTTATGGAAACTAGGTCTGGAGAGGATTGCTGTAAATTTTGAAAGCTGTAAATTGGGCTCAAATGTTTGCTGCAAGTGTGTGTTGTGTGTCCGAAAGCATTTCCTTGATTATTCTGACTACATTAAAAAGGCAAACCGAAGGAAACTGAAGTATAAATGAGCCCGTAGCATGCAGAGCCTATCAAGCCAGGAATTTAGTGACCAATTAAAGTTGCTTATTTTCCTTTCCAGAAACAGTGCCATTTGAATTTCCTGTCACCCCTTGCCTTCAGAAATTTCGAGTGAGGTTTAAAGTTGTACATTTTGAGTTGAGGAAATTTTAGAGGAACTTCGGTCTGGGACAGGAAAAAATTTGAGTTCGAGAGGTTTTTGAATTACGGTGGTTCGAATTGAAGAGGTCCGACTGTACATGAGGGTTGGGTCATAAGTTTTGAGACTTTTTGAAATACAGTAGATCCAACAGATTTTCAAAAATTCGAAAGAAAAATTTACGCGCATAACCCCATCATTTGTCAACGCGTCAGTGCTGTTCAACATACTGTTCATTGATTTCGATGCATTTTTTCAAGCTAAAAATCCAAAAATAAAAACAGTGCCGGAAATCGAGTTCCTTTACTTGGTCAAGCTGCTCTTCAACCGCGGAAATGAGGCTGTCCCTGCTCCTCAAAATCAGGTCGTTCTTCTCTGTCGGAAACAGCCAGAAGTCACAGGGTACCTAATCAACTAACAGAACTCGATTTTCGGCACTGTTTTGATGGTTGGATTTATTGCATGAGAAAAAAATGCATTGAAACCGGCGGACTAAATGTAAAAAAAAAATTGGGAATTGTTGAAACTCTGTTGGATCTACTGTATTTCAGAAAGTATCAAAACTGAAGAACCAACCCTCATACACGGCTGTACCTCTTCAACTCGAACCAACCTTATTCAAAAATCTCTCGAGCTTAAAAATGTTCCAGTCCTTGTCCAAAGTCACGTTAAAACGCGTAACCTGAACCTCCTCAACGCAAAATAACCAGAGGTTCAACTTTGAACCTCTCTCGAAATTTTCGAACCATTGAGGGCAGGAAATTCTAATGGTACTGTTTTTTGGAAAATAAAATGAGTAACTTTAATTGTCCTATAAAATCCTGGCTTGAGGCAGTCCATCCTATAATCTAATTTATACTATAGTTACGTGTGGTACGCCTTCTTTTTGTATTGGGAATAATCAAGGAAGTGCTTTTGGACACACTACACACAGTGGCAGCAAACCTTTTAGCCCCAATTACCTCTTTTAAAATTTCAAAACTTGAGAACCAACTCTCGTACAAAGTTGGACCTCTTCCAACTCGAATCACCCTAATTCGAAAACCTCTCGAACTCAAAATGTTTTTCTAGACCCGTGTATATGAATTTCTAATATTCCAGGTGCCAGTGTGGGCATGGTCATTATGACAGCCGTCGTCGCTCCGAGTTTCTACTTTGAAAAGCGTCGCGCTTTGGCCACGGGCCTGGCCACGTGTGGTTCCGGGATCGGCATGCTCGTCTTCCCACCGTTGCAACAAATGCTCTTCCAAAGCATTGGCTGGCGGTACGCACTCATGATCGACGCGGCACTTGTGGCCACTGTGTCGCCGTTGTGCGTCTCTATGCGTCCATTGAACCTTGTGAAGCCATTGCCGATCACCGAGTCCATCATGAGCGTTTTTCCCGTGGATGGACGAGATGGTGTTACGACTGACGTGAAAAGTGACTCGGCGCATCAGAAAGCCGGTGATCGAGCCAAAGAAATGACCAGCTCGAATATTTTCGAGCATTGTTTGACGGGTATTTTTCTTTTTTTTTTTTTCAGAAAATTTCTTTGTGGGTTATACGAGGGTTGTCCCAATTGCTTGGACGCGGCCTCTCACTTTTTTTTTTTGGAGTAGATTTGATCGTGAAAAAAATCGCCGACATTGTTGAAATGAGTGAAGACATCAGTGAAGACCTTTGACAGTGAAGAACTCTTGCTGTAACCAGAGATTTTTCACTCATCATCATGCAATAAATTGAAAAACTTTTTTAAATCCGAGAAGCGAGAACCTCAAAACGTCATAGCTTTTTGTGTTAAAAATTTTTTACATCAACTCTGGAAATATCAGAGGTTGTGCCCAACTGGGACAACTCTTATTGTCCCAGTTGTGCTGTAAATTGTAAATTAAAATGTGCTGTTCTGTATATGAATGGAAAGAATTGTGCTGGTGGAAAAGCAGCCGGAAATTATTCGAGCTTCTGGAGCACAGGCGGGGGTCGTGACACATCAAGAATCGCAGATGGTTGTTGTTCAGTGTTTTTTTTTGCACGAACAAATTTTGCATAAAATGTTTCTTGTACTTTAAAAGCGGTAATACAGTGCTGTATATTAGCTGTCGGGGAAATCTAAAATTTATCATTATGAAGATTAAGTTGTTGGTAATTCGCGGAATACATCAAGTTCATAAGTTGCAGAAAAACATTCTACCGCGCTTGATTTGTTCCTCTTGTGTACAGCAATGGTACATGAATGAAAAGAATAAAGTTTACCTCAAGGTTAGATTGATCAATATTTTATTTTTGCGTGCATATGAATAAATGAGTAAAATCCTTGGATTCAGTGCCGATTCTCTTGGTTGGATTGTTGGTGTTTCACCAGCATGTTGGTGCCACCTATGTAGAAATGCTAATCTCCTTATTCGGTGTTCGCTTCAGGTTTCCGCAGGAGGTCGCTAAAAGCAAAGAGAAACTTGGGAAAATGACGCGCGAATTTGAAATATTGTATTGATACAACTTATACAGATTGACTCTTGCGACGAAATGCAGGGAACTATAAGACATTTTTCGAGAGAATTTTTTTTGTCGAGAACTCCTACAACCCGAGAAGAGAACCCAATGTATCAGGGCTTTTCAACCGGTGGTGTCCGTAGACTTGCCGAGGGTCATACAACTATTATACAACCAGGTATTGCCCATGGTTAAGATCACATCCGCGTGGGCATACCAAAACTTTGTTGGCATGTAGTACACCTCCACAGTTGAACCTTTATAACTTGATGAATACGCCATTCATTGAAGCGCGTTTGTTAATTTTGAAATTTTCTTTCAAATTGCCCAGGAGATGACGAAATCTGCAAGGCATTAGGAGCGAAAGAGTCGCTCAAAACTCTTTATCGTCGCACATCGACGCCTCACTTATTGGAAAACAAGCTGAATGTTAGCGGCGGAACAAGTACACTTGCTGCTGCTGATTCTCAACGGGTCTCCGAAATATCAAAAGCAATGGATTCAGAAAGAAAAGTAAGTTTCTGGTATTTTTTTTCAATTTCATTGTGAGAATTGTATATACAGTACAGTATATATTTTCCCGTATTGGTTGTCTGTCAGGATTTTATCGCCTTTCCGACGGATTTTACCTCCTGCAAGTTGAGATCACCCACCGGAGCCGAAATTACTTGCCAGGTAATTGACCCTTACCACTGGAATCTCAAGCTTTGAAGGAGGCCTTTTATTTTATTATGTTTATTACATGTTATTTTTTTTCAGAAAGTTGATGAATTGGCTGCTTCAGTTTCTGTTCATGAAACAGAAAGGTTTGAGGAGAGCATAGCTTCGGATATAAAAGCTCCAAACCTGAAGAAAGGCGACGATTCGGAACCATCAATCGCCAATCCACGACTGGGAGAATACATCTTGGAAAGTGGCACCAAGCCCTTGTAATATTTTTATTACCTATGATTTTCTACTACTGTATCTAAAATGCTCTTCAAATAATGAAAATTTTAATGTTCTGTCATCTAGCTCATCCCGGAAATTGCAATAGCCCTCAGATTATCTGGACTGAAGATTGTCTTTGTGTGGATTATAAAATATCACGGATACTACTTGATAATCTTAATAAATCGGTTAGATGAAAAAAATACTGTATTTGGCAATAAAAAAATGAATAATACTGTATTGCAATCAGTATCCGAAAATGTTGGATGACATAGCCCGGATAAGTAATTGTTGCTATATCATTGCTGATAAAAATCAATATTTGAAAAATGGGAATGGGACATCGTTCAAAATTCGACGATGAGGACAAAATGTATTTGGAAATTCGTGTCAATCAAATTTAGGCAGTTAAAATTCATAACAATTAATTTGGTTATTTTCCAATTAAAACTTGCCCCTTGAAGCTCAAATAATTTAAGTTATAATGCTTAACTTGCCTTGGATGCGTCTCAAAGTCTGAAAATTTTCATTAGAAAGTTGAAGAACAGTACTTCATTAATTTTGAAATATTTATCATGGGAAACCCACGAGGAAAATGAAATGAAGTTGAATGAAAACCTTGAGAATAGACTCGCTGTATTTTTGATAAAAAGTATACTTGAATTAAAAAATTGAAATAAAATTTGGTCGAATTTTATTCGATTTTGGATAGTAATCTGAAATTTTTCTCAATCTCGCTTTTCACTATCAAAAATGAAACCGTGGGGACACAAATTTTAAAGGAGAACCCGACGCACTTAGTCTGGAGTTATTTCCGCAGTGTGAGCCTTGAGGTTCTGTACTTGTAAATATATAAAGTAGAATTTTCCGTTTGAAATTTTTCAGTACATTATTCGAATCTTGCTTATGTATGGGCTGAGAACTCCGAATGTTTAATTTTATTTAAAGTGTCATGAAAATACAGTCGAACCTGTTGAAGTCAAACTTCAAGGAACCAGCAAACAAAATTGACTTGTTAGGGAGGTTCCAAGTTAATGAAACAAGCATTTTTGTTGGAAAAAAAAGAAGAATTGAATGAAATTGTAATCAATGATACTATGGGCCTTAAAGGGCTCCTTGAATTAGTTGGCAGGATGCTGAACTTGGAGGCAAGAGTTCATTTGCTAAATTAGTCTTTAATTTTCTTTCAAAACACATTAAATTACATTTCTATTGATTTTGTCTCTCTTGCGTCAATAAGAAAAGTAGACGAAAGGTACCCAGGAAATTCGAGTTTGGGAGGTTTGAGATCAAAGGTCTTCTAGTTGGGGAGCTTTTTAATGCGTTGTTTCTAAAAGGGAATTCGTACAGGAATAACATTAAAAAAATTGACATAGGCAGGTATTCCACTCGGGCAGGTTTAAGTTATCGAAATTAAACTGCATTAATTTTATTTTTGGTTCAAGGACTCAAGGAACCATCCTGAAAGAGCTGATGTCGAGATATCGGGCTCAGACAGTTCCTGGTATGACCAATACGGGATTATCGACACCAGCTGCGAGCAAGGGAGAAACTTCTCAGTTGTCTCCCAATGCTTTTGAAGTTGGGCGACGAAATCGGTCCATGATTTCTAATGTGACGAACTTCAGCACCAAGATCTCCAAGCCCTTGTTCCGGAAAGATATTTTTTATACTGGCAGCATTCAACATTTGGCCGAATTCCAGGAAAAGGTTTCCTTTTTTTTATGTTTGTTTTTAGAGTGCCTAAAATGTTTTGTCTGCTATATGTTCTCTGAAATACGGCAACATTTGATGGACAAGACGAAAAACATTTAATGTGGAATCCCACCGTATTTATTTGAGTATCATTCGTCCGTGAGTAATTAAGACGATTTGAACCACTCATTGTCTGCTTAAAATTGTTATAAAAACCTACAGCTGGGAGTAAAAACGCTCACCCCATTTTTCCAAAAATATGCTATACTGTACTGTATTTAAAAAATGAAATCTTTTAAAATTTGAATTTTGGATCAAGGTGAACAAAAACTGCTGAATGACAAGATTTTTAACTTTTTTGAAGTTCAGGTGAACCTCATCCTTGAGTGACTTGTGGAAAATTGTAAAAAAAATTAAAACAAGAAAATTTGAAAAAAAGAATTCAATTTAAAGCATCGAAATTCAAAATGTCCTTAAAGATTAAAATTCAATTTGACGCAACTGTAGAGTCAATATACAGATGAAGGTTTCCAAAAGTTTTTTGAAGGCGGTGCAACTCATCATGCTTGAGTCGCTTGTGGAAAATGTCAAAATTTTAAAACAACATTATTCAAGAAACTGAATTACATTGAAAAGCAGTTTCGTTTTAAAGGAGTCCAATATTTTCCACAAGGAAGTGATTGAAGTACTGTATATGAGGTGCATCTAAACTTAAAAACATTTCTGGAAACCCCTACAGATACAGTATATATATATATATATACATATATAGTAATGTATACCGTACCCGCCTGTTATGCTCGCCTTTTTCTCTTTATGTAAAAAAAAGGTATGTATATATATGTTGTGCAATTGAATGTTTCAAGTATAAATTGTTTTTAGGAAGTCTCTGCATCGATTTTGCGTTGCACGCGGATGCAAAAAATCATTCAAGTTAAATTATAGCCAATTGCACCGTTTTTCTTTCCCTCTGCACTGTTTGTGATCCAAATTTTTTTTGCAAACGTTTGTTTGTTATTGCCTTCTGTTGCATCATGAGTAGATAAAAATGAACTTTTACTTCAAATTTGCTAGACTGAATAGAGCTAAGAATGCAAAAATTAAATTTTCTCGTGTTGAAAATCTGACTATACAATGGTTGATGGAGTGCGACTTGCGAAAGAATCTGTAGAAAGACGTGCACCACCTCTGCAGATTAGTTTATTAGTCAGTACAGTATTCGTATATCTTTCAGATTTTCTTTGAAGAAAATGCGAATATCAATTTGTTATCGAACCTTTCTCTATAGGGTTCAATGACTGCTTACCGGGATTCGGTGATAGAAGTTCCGGACGCAGCGTTGAAGGAGTTGATCCAAGCTGAAGTGGTGCTGGACGTGGAACAAACGGGAAAACCGATGCGATTTGTTGCGA